ATATAGGCAGCCAAAGATGGTTTAGTATTGATCCTAAAGCTTCAAGGAATCATCAGTAATGAAAACCTAGCGGGGGCAGGCATTTAATTTTTTTTTTAATAAAAATCGCAATAATATTGAGATTCTTCTTCAGAGTGATATTGTCACAAATCAAACAAACCTACATTAACTTTTAATATGCCATTCAACACGGTATAGTATGTCCTTTTATATAACGTAAATAAAAGTTTAGGACTAATGTTGAAATCACGTATTAAGGGTTAAATACTTTTACATATTATATTCATAGATTTTATGGCTTGGTTCTCGAGCTAATTACTTGCCAAATTAATGCTATTCGACTTTTTTTGGGAAGTCATATAGTAATGGTATGTAGGAAGCCATCCGTGTAAGTTTTTTTTTTANCTAGCTGCGTTTATTTTGAGTGCATTTTAATTGAAGCTATAAAATCGAAATCACCAGCGATTAGAAAATTTCATAAAAGGAAGAGCTGATATTTGTAAACCTTCCATTTTATAAGCGCTTGTCAGTTATGGTATTATCTTATCTGCTTCATTTTCTGTAAGTGGATTTTCTTGTTAATATACTCTTTGATCGTTTACTTTTCGACCTTATATTTTTCTCACTTTTTGCTTTTTAAATTGGCATCCATTCAATTTTTGTTTATTTTGTTTGCTATAAAATTAAGTGACGATTACAATTTTATGTTTTTTCATTAACAAACGAATGCTGATAAGAATTAGGCTTTTTATATATTTCTAGATTTTTAATTAACGTAATAACCAGTTACATTTATTTAATAACCCAATGGTCGCTAAAACATGTCATTTTAACTCCTATAAAGTTTTATAGCTAAAAATTTAATTAGGTTTAGAGAAATTGGTGACATTGATAAAATTCCACTGGGCCAAGGTTTGAAATAAGTTGGTTAATTGAATTGGTTTCCTTAAGCCGCAAATATACTGTAACACCGTGCAACAAAAACCTAAAAATTTCAAAACACGCGGAGCAATCAATATACCCACGATAAATACTAAGGTTCAAATTTAGTAAAATTGCGTTTATAATTTTTCTCTCTGGTGTCATGACTTCTTAAAAGGACTATGAAATTACAGAAATATGATTATTTAAAAAATTCCAGTGCAATGTGGAATAAAAATGAGTGCGAAATGAAAAAAGGATTTTGTAGAATAAAAATAATAAATATAGATTTTGGTTCGCAAGGACGAATGGATATTTAAAATGCCTTTTTTACTATTTTTTTTATCTAAAACTATCAAAGCTAGAAATCCGAAATTCGAGGAAGTGGCCACGTATATATTGCTGCTCTTTAACGTATAATTTTTTCAAAAATATATATTTGATATTTTCCAGGACATTCAAGGATAACATTTTAAAAGGACATTCCCTATACCTATACGTCCTTGCGCACCAAAAAAGTTCATCTTTTTCAATTCTATAGAATTTTTTCTTTTCATGTGTTACGCACATTGTGATATTAAATTGCACTGACTTTTTTTAAAATAATTTTTAGAATTAATAAAATCTTTGAATTTTCGAAGTTCTTTAAAAAAAAATCCTGTAGTCAGAAGTAAAAACGCAGTTTTATAATATTTTGTTCCTAGTTTCGCGAGTATATTGATTTTTGTGTGTGTAAATTTTACTGTCTCACGCTGTAGTCAACGGAAATTAAGTTTCTAAAATCTGTAGACTTTTAATTTTTTGAGCTTTATTTATTTTCCCTCCAAAATAATTAGTGTACATACATACATTTTTAAAGTTTTATTTTTATGACTGTAATAAAAACTAATTTCTTGAGCGTAATTTTATCGCTAAGAAAAAAAAAAATTATTTTTGAGGTTTATTATTTTAGCAGATCGAAATCTTCAAAACGCCACACCGCCTCTCCTTTAAGGATTATCCATCGCTGTTCGCTTTTTTCTCAATTATCCCGTTCCTTCTCCAATCATACCCCCAAAAGATGAGTGGACGGGAGGTTTGGAATGAGCCACCAGTGAATTTTTTCACGGAAGGAGTCTATTGCAAACCGTGTATGAAACAAATCGAGTCGCCTGCAAACACGTAAAGTAATTACATTTTATTACCTTCTCACTATGTTTATGTACATAAATAAACATCTCCTGCATGCACAATGCACATTGCACATTGTATTTGCATACAAATACAAATTAATAAATCACATAGTCTCATTAAAAAGCAATAACATTCAATTAGCGTTCATATCGAAGATGTAAACGAGCTTAAGTTAAAACAGTTGCAACTTACGCTAATCAAAGTTGGTTTTTTATTACCAAATAAAATTCTCATAAAACTCTGTCACATACTTAGAAGCACATTACAAATCTATGTATGAAGATGCTGTATTGTACTTCTAGCACTGGATGTTTAGTTACAACTCGGTACATTCCCTTGAAAATTTGTATGTATGCTGTAGGTATTGTTTTCGCTAGCCGAATATTTAGTTTTTGCTCTAAAGTACCACAGTGGAGTTAATGCCGCAATTAAATTGACTCTTCAAATTTTTGGATACAAAACGATAGCCTATACCGCCGGACTGCAAGGTAGAGTGAGCGCCAGTGCCGTAAAGTGGAGTGATCGTAAATATAAATGCCTGTAATTGTGCCGTTGTTGACTTTACCCTGTTGGTTGCAAGGAGTAGTTGACAGAAAAATAAGTGTTAATGAGTTAAGAATTAAAAGTAAATTTGAACAAAATAGCTGAGGATGAATGAAATGCTGGCCAGTCCAGCAAACAAAGTTTTTTAACTTAATCAATACTTACACATTATACGACATTTTTTGTTTTTTTGTTTCTGGGGAATGAATTAAATCAAGGCGATTTTTAGCGTTTTTGTTTTGTTTAAAGAATTAAAAGTAATTTAAACAGGGACATAACAGTTATAAGTTTTATCGCAAAAACGTTGCTCCCATAACAGTTATTAGGTGAGAAATATTTTTTATTTCCTGGAGAAGAGTTAAAATCCAACGTTTATTTTTTACGTTGCCTGATAACTGTTATGTTTTCTGTTGCCGATAAGAGTTATTTCCCAACGTTTATTTTTTACGTTCCTTGATAAGAGTTATTTTACAACGTTTATTTTTTAGGCAGTTTGATAAACGTTGTAAGATTAGGATATTGATGAAGATAAAGATGGAGAGCAAGATAAGGAAGATGAAATAAAAGTGGGAGGGTGAAAGAACTCTTACCAGACAACGTAAAAAATAAACGTTGGGAAATAACTCTTTTTGGCAACGAAAAAATATATTTCCCATCTAATAACTGCTATGAAACAACGTTTTCGATAAATTTCGCAATTCGGGCAACGTTTTCAAATTCGCGATAACAGTTATTTTTGGTCCCTGAATTTAAATGCAAATATTTATACCATCAAAAGGCCTTTCTTGGGGTTTTGGGGTCCGAGGAATCTGAATATGTAATATATTTTTGCAAATAATGGCCGCTGGGCGCCCTATGATGCAAAAAACATGGAAGGAACATGTTTCTTTTTAGTAATAAAGTGCACCAAGGCGGCCCTAGTAGCCGTTTGTACCCCAAAACGCACCCCTTGTGTGCGCTTATGCGTACGAATATTTCGTACATTCGTGAACATTTTTTGTTTTCCCGTATTGTCTGTGCGAGTGACAGATATTTTGCAAGTGAATACGGTATACGAGCGTTTGAAAATGATTCGAAGTGAACTACTTTGCTTGATGAATATTTAACTTACAATAGGTGAATTGCATGGGCGAAATGAAAATTCATGACAACGGTGATCATGTCAATATAAATTGTTGTACTATATCTAATAACTATTTATATATTTAGCTGATAGCCCCAGCAGCTAGCGCTAAATTAAATACTATTTAAATTTATTATTCAATTATAAGTGTAATAGATTAATTAAATAAATAAATTGACGATTTATATCTGCCCAAATGTATTAAATTTTTTCAGGTTAAGATAAAACGAATTTGAGACCAAGAAATCTAACAATTTATTAGACACTTGGTGTGCAAATTTAAGCAGAAAGATGTTGAAGTGATCACTTAAAAAACATATTTGAGGAAAAATCGGGGCTTTCTCTTTATCTATTTATATCTAGTTGTTTACTAATTACTTAATATATGTTTCTTGATATTTTTTCTTGCTGCCCAATTTTTTCTAGTGGGCTAAAACGAAATGAGTAATTATGTACAAATTTCCTCTCTTTTTTTGTATAGGCATTTGTTTTGTTTGTGCTATGTAGATAATCTCGTATTCGCTCTGCAATGTCCCAATCGTTGTAAGCGTTCTCACAGCTTCAGTTACACACACTCAAACTGATGTTTCATTCAAAAATTTCGCTTTTTACTGATAAGAAATATGTAGCAAAAATTTTGGTTTCAGTTTCTACGTCGCGAAATGAATGAGAAAGGCCCATCTAATATGGGGGGAATGCTTTAGGGACTAAAATTATTAGTTATTTTGATTATATTCATAAGAGCGCGACAATCTCAGAAAGTCAATTTAGGCAATTGTTCTCATTGAGCAGATGAGACTTCATGCTACTAGAGGGTATGCCGACTGATCACTTCTCGCGGCACTAAGACAAACCAACGAGCTCCCTGACACTCAGCTGTTTATTCTGCACGTTTTTTGGATAAGATCCAACAAAAATAAAGGATCAATTTATGTAGCCTAGTTTGCTAAAAACTGTTAAATTCAGAAAACACAGAGATCTTCAAAGCAGTTCGGGTTAACATTGTTGTTTGGAGCTAAGGCCCCTAAAGTAAAAGATCTGCTCCCAATTATTTTACTAAAAAGTACCCCACAAAACATTTCTCAGTGTACTCGTACTCGTGCTAGCGTGTCGAAGTTGGCGATGTCCCGCTCTGCGGAAGTAGGTACAGGAACACTGGAAATGGAAAACCAAATGAAATTCGCTTGAAACACTCCAAAGCCGCATACAATTCACAATCGAAATCAGTTTGAAACTCGCAGCGTTCATAAACAGACCACTATCTCTAGAACACGCTCTGTTAAGTCAACGCCATACACAGTCGAGATTAAATTTAAAATTGTGAAAAAAAATAAAACTAGAAAACATTAGAATAAAAACTTAAATATTTGGTTACAACAACTATAGCATAGAGTTCATTGATTTTTTACACGATCTTACGAGCACAAGAGAAACGTTTCAACAAAGTAGTGTGTGGCGATAAGCGAGGAGCAATACACGAGACCAACAAGCATCTGCACAATCGGACAACACAAATAAGCAGCCTCTACAAAAGTAAAAATAGATTATTACATAAATCTAAAAATAGTAGCTGTAATCATAATTAGTTGCGTATTGGTATTTGGTTCCAACAAGGCAAGACACGCCAAGCCACGCTTATCATGAGGAATAATAATCTTCTACTCAACCTATCCACTGGCCTAACAATTGTGGCGTGCATTATGGCGACCACGTACGCCATCTCGAGCACATGGGGCAACATCTCGAATTCGGCGCAATTGTTGCATGTGGAGAATGTGTTTAATGCGTCATCGCCAGGAAAATATGTGAATCGTGAAATTAAGTTTCCCAAAAATGTAAGAACATATTTACATACATACATAACTTTGCATATCAGCTGTGAAGTGAGGGAAAAGTGAAATTATTTATTTATTTATGTAGTTGTTTTTGGGTTAAGGCCACAATTTGGTGTGTGTGTGGAAAGATAACCAGATAGCAGGCCAAGAGGTGGCACGTAGAAAGCGTATTATCAAAAAATAATTAATGAGATTTGAGATTATAACAAATTATTTAGCTGGTCCCATTGGCAGGGGATTTTTTGCATTTTATTTATTTTTAAATGTTTGTTGCTCAACTAAAGCGCTTTTTCCAGAGAATTGTGATTTATTGTTAAATGATAAGGGTTTCATGATTAACAAAATGACATCAGTGACTAAATATTTCGCTTATGCGCAAACGTCATACGCTGCTTATCACTGCTTTTTGTGAAGAGCTGTACAGGGCGATTTTGAAGCAAATGTATACATAGTAATCTCAACTGCTGAACTGCTAAAAGTTCAATTTCACTTGCATGTATGTATGTATGTGTACGCATAGGCAAGTAGACTTTATTTAAAATATCAAGGCTATAAACGCCTTAAGAACTCTACAAATGGATACACTAAATCATGATTCCAAGAACTAGCTAATCAACGTGAGGAAGTTACTCAGAGAGTTGAGCGCACGATATATGTATGTACATATGATTCTCGGGCTGGAGCCTCTATTATTAATAATATAGTAAGTGAACAAACATGACTTACTAAATTTCTTTAAAAAATTATTTTACAGTGCAAAGGTGCACTGTTGAAAATAGAATTCTGCAGCAAAGCAGCGTATGGTTTCTCCTTAGAAAAGGCACCTCCTGTGCTAGAACTAAGACGTCGAAAGTAACAAAAACTGTATATATTTGGCGGCCGCACTATTGTGAATATTTGGCTCAGCTGCTCCTCGAATTTGTGGTGTGCGTCTTAATATTTGTCACACATAGAGGTACCTATAGTTTGATGCCCAAATATGATTCCCAAATACTTAGATTTTAGAAGATTTTTCGTTATAGAACTAAACTCGGAAGTTGCCCATTACTTGCCGGGGTGTGACCGCGCTATTAGTATGGGAAATTACCCGAGTATACTTCCGATGGAAATTCACATCATCACTCTGTGTATGGAGATGTGTATAAAATGTGAATATAGAAACTTAACTTCCTTGCCAATTGGGGTATTAATCCATGAGGTAGCAAACAATTACCCGGAGAGGTCAAAACAGCCAAGTAAGGACTATGACAATCAAAGTACTTGAAGGGATGGGTTCCAACATCATGCAGTTTCGTTATTACATACCTTTTGTTTCATCACTTTCGCTTTTGGTTAAGGGAAACCGAAAACACTATATAATTAGTTAAATAAAAAGTTCCTTATTAAAAAATTTAAATTTTTATTGAAATAACTAAAAAAAATAGAAGAAAACTAAGTTTGTGTTAAAAAACACTAAACATTTTATTGGTAGATATTTTCCAGATTTGGTAGATTTTTTCAAGTAGATGGTAATTATTATTTTTTCGTCAGTGGCAACCATGGTCGCGGACGTCCACAGAGTCTTGACCTTGCCAGTTCGGGAAAGTGGCAGAGATAGTGTTCTATACTCTTCACCTCCTCTACGTCCCTGTAGGCACGACAGAAAACGTTAGCGTGGTAACCCATTCGCCTAGCATGCGCTCCCATTGGGCAGTGTCCTGTAATTTTATATACCGACAACTGTGCTAATAATCGGGCAGTCGATTTGTATAAGAGTTTTGGCTCGTTTCTCATTAATATATGGCCAGATCTATTTTTGTAACGGAACATGTTGCTTCTTTCGCCCATCGTTCGTTGGTCAATTCAATGAAAATAGATTTCAGTCGGTGCTTACTCGAAGACAGGGGGACGCCTACATCGAGCACAGAGTTTACTGAGCGTAGTTCAGTTCCTCCCTCTCAAGCTCGTCTGCTGAGCAGTTTCCCGGTATTCCACTGTGCCCGGTACCCGCCCATACCACGTTAATGGTAACTTGCATTCGGCAGCCACTTTTGAGGAAGTATTACTGCACGGTAAAGATTTAATCGCTGCTTGGATTGTAGACAAATTGCGACGTTGTTTTAAAACCGAATCTGAAGCGCAAACAAATAGGTTGCCCATCGTTTGACGCTGTTTTTTTCGCTTAAACAAAAGTATACATTTACACACATAGTTATAGTTATATGTACTGCGTATATAGTTATAAGTAACATTTTTTGATTTGATTAATTTTTTTTTGTGAAATTGCGAACCGGAAACGCTTCGCAAAAGTCGGTTGCCTGATAAGCTGCGTAATGGCGGCGGCGGCGGCGGCTATGTCGGGGTCTCTCTAGCTGGCTTGATTTTGCACACGCGTTTTATGAAACTATAAACATATATTTTTTATACATTTGTTGTAGTTGCAAAATTTTAATAAAGCACAACGAGTGTCAATCTTCAGAGATCGCAAAAAAAAAACAGCAAAACTTATGCGGATTTTTTCTTGCAACTCTAAATTGGCATGGAATATACTTTTTCTGGATTCAATAATTGCTGCTGGACCGCAAATTCGCAACATATCGCTCATTTTGCTGCTTTTTTTGGTTTTCTAAAATTATAAAAAAACAAGTTTTCGCTGTTAGTGATAAGAATTTTTGAGCATAATAATAAAATTTGCAAACAATTATATGAAATGAAAGGAAACACAAAGTAAATTACATACATAGGTATTTATTTCGTATGAAATATTCCACCGCATGGCTACTGTCTATATATTATCTTATTTGTACTGATCATTTTGATAGTTATATTAATTTTTATAAAGATGAATTACTCTCGATTTTGGAATGTGTTGTCCGAAAATTTGAAGTAGTAAAAATATGTAATGTTTCATAGATAGAGCCGAGATAAGCATACTAGATCAGTATGTACATTAGGGTGGTCCAAAATAAGTAAAGTCGGAATTTTAATGCTCTTACCCCTAGGATGGTTCTATATCGAAAAAATATACCCATATTTTTTATTTAGAAATCAAAAAATATTTGTGGAGAAAAACAACTTTTCGTAGAAATGGTATGAAATTCTTGGAAATCAATATTTTTCGATCGGAAAACTCTAGTTCTCTTCAGGAGACTTCCAGTAACAATACCCAGTTGTTTATTTAACCATCTGTGAGGTAATACCGGTGTAATCGGTTAACCGGGTCCAAAGTTATTCGGTAACATACATTAAAAAACAAAAACAAAAAAAATATATATATTCCGACGATTGTTAACCTTCTCCTTTTGTGATGTCGGTTAAAAAATAATAAAAATTTTCTTAAATATTCCTAGAAAAATGTATGGAATTTAAGGTTGAGCAAGCAGCAAACATTCAGTGACACTAAACTGCCGGTTTTAACAAACTTTTTGTTTCTTCAGTGTTGTAAAGAGAAAATAAACACTTAAAAAAAAACAAATAAAATGTACCACCCTCCAGGCTCACTAAATTTCCAACACACACCTCAAAGTGCCTTCAACTCAACAGCTACTTATTTTAAAATGTGTATTAATTTCGCCTAAAAACTTAATATTCCTATTTCCAACAAACAGGGCATCGGCAATGGACGCATAATTACCGGCATACGCGCCTTCGATCAGGTGACAAATGGCACCGGCGGTCATGCCACCATCTACTCGGGTGGACCTGGCTTCAATAATGTTACTATCAAATTGCAATCACAATACAATTATGGACTAATATTTCGCGTGGAAATTTACGGCAAATAATCACCAACAGCGGATTGCCATTATTCATTAATCTACTTATTATTTTTATTTAGTAATAATTGTTTTTTTTTTATGTTTGTTTAATTATAAGTTAGAGTACTTATTTTGTTAGCACTAAGTC